GATCTTTGGGACAAATCTTGTGAGATTTGTTTTCCCTCTTCCAACCATATTCGTGTATAATTCTGATAAAAATTAAAAAGCTAAACTGGAATAAAATATTTCTTTACAAATGTTCCCATTACTAATGCTAAGCCAAAGCAACGGGGTTTTCCTGATGGCAACTTACTATAACTTTGACTCTTGTTCAGACTCTCAGCTCTGGGACCCAACTTTTTACACAGAAGAATCCTTTTTGCTTTTCTATCTTCCTTAGCATCAACGACCCCCAAGTTTTCTTCCCAGAGCATCCATTCTATTTTCTTTTCTCCCTTTTTTTCTACCCCAAAGCTGAAGATCTGTGATCTTTGGGAACTTTTCACTCTAGAAAAAAAGGAAGGGAGTGGGAGTGGTCCAAAGGAGTAACAAAAAATACACAAAGACTTTTCTTACTGGGAGAGATTCAGTAAAGCACTTATCCACTTTTCAAAGTTTCTTTAAAAAAAATAATATTTTCCCTTTTGGTTTACTGACAAGCATGGAAAATATCTGCATTTACCATGCAGAAGCCAATGACAGTTAATAACTAATAACCAAAGAAAGTTTACACTGAAAGTTTATAATAAAAAAGATTAAATGTGCTCAAAGTCATTTACTGAGGAAAAAGAGTAATAAATGCTCTTTAAGGCCTTGATTCTTTCTTACTGTAGCCGGCTTCCAGTTGGTCAGTGATAAAGAAGAAATTAACATGGAAATATTTGGTATTTTACTAAAACTACAAAATAAGGTATGTCAAAATGTTTCTGCGTTCCATAGTTCCATACTCAGTAGTTATATATTAGTTATATAACTTCAATGGCCATGGAGGAAAAATATTTTCCCTTGACGATACCTATCGCTTAAAAGCCTACGAATGAGAGACCTCCAAAACTTTCGTAACATTTTTCTAAAGCAAATGGTAATTTTCCTCTTGTACAATTTTGGCTTTATATAAAAAAGCTGCCCAAGTTAAACTAAAACAAAAAATAATATTCTATGCTTTTAGCGAACTTTCTGTGATCTAACAGTATATAAAAACATTGCTGAACAATAATATAAGAAATGATTGGCCAATTGAAAGAAAAGGCTTCCAGGTCACCATCCATATTACTTACCTAAAGTTCTTTACATGGTCTTCCACCCCAGAAAGACGAATTGAATGCTGCAGTGCATTCAGGTAAGTCAGGGCCTGAGTAGAGGACCCCCAGTTGACATCTGTGGGAAGACCATGCAGGCAGTGAAACACCAGTCACAACCCACGGAGACACAGAGAATTAACTCATGCTTGCGTGTTGAAAAATTCAATTCTAAAATATAGTTCTTATAACTTTCAGAGTTCAAATATATACCATGACATTAAGACTATGATGATGTAAACTGTAATTCCTTTCAAGAAAACATCTAGTTTAGAAAAGACAAAGATGAGAGTGTGCAGACATACTATGCATAAAACTCAAAAGAGTCTTTTACAAATAAGGGGAAAATTTTTAAATTACTATTTTAACACAGCCAAAGGTCAGGGAAAGGAGAGCCCTGGCTTCTAAGAAGTTACTTAACTGTTTAGGTTATTTGAACAGAAATATTTTCCTATTGAATAAACAACTTGGACGTCAAATGATTTTAGACATTTGTTAATTTATAGAAATAGGTATGTTGAAGAAATAATTGCTTCTAAATTATTTTGTCCATTTCATTTCTAGAGCTACCACTCTAATCCAAAATCTCACCGTTTCATATCTGGATTATAAAATGTTTCCTCACTGTTTGAAACTACTATATTGCAACTATTCTTATAATCTCTCCCTAATGTACTCTAATAGACTCAAACTTCTCCAATCTTTATTGTCAGATTTTTTCTGTGTTGCGTGTTATATCCCGGATCCTGGACCAATCCTAATACACTCTAGCATCATTACCTGACATAGAAATGCACAAAATTATGCCAGTATGACAGATGCTGGGTAATCATCAATTATTTCCAGTTAAAACATGCTTGGCCAGCTTTTCCTACTGCGCAGGAACCTAATGGGAAAGATACTATGTCTTCTATGTATTTATGAATTTACTGAATAACTATGTATTTTAATTCCATAGTATTTACTATAGTTCTAAGATCATACTAAGTTACATGTATGCTTTTTAGGCTACAGCTAATACAATACTGTACATCAGAAACATTTAAAAGAATAATTTTTAAAATATATTAACTATAAAAGGTTAAATATACACATTTATTATTTTTCAACAAATGAGTTAATTTTAATTTATACATGGTAGATAATAATGGGATTTCATACGAATAAAAAGTCTTTTAGTAATTGTTTCATTAAAACTACATGTATCTGGGGTGGTGCCCGCAGCTTAGTGGGTAAGGCGCCAGCCACATGCACCAGAGCTGGTGGGATGGAACAAACAAACAAACAAAAAAAACTACATGTATTTGGGAAAGAACAACAAAAAACTACGTGTATGCAGAAATAAAGCATTTTAGATTATACAAGAAGTAGCTTTCAAATATACATTCTTATGATTAAATAAGAAAAGTAACAAAGAACAGCTAAGTGTTTTCCAGCTTGAAATGCTAAACAGAAAAGGTTACTGACCTGGTTTTTTGTAGGTAACATAAATATACAGCCCAAGGACTATCACATATGTTAGCAATGCAGCCCACCAGTTAATGACAAACATCACTATGCAACAAAGAATCGCTCCAATAAGTGATATCCACATGTTGTAGTATTTGAATGCAGGACGCCATCCTAACAATGACAAATAAATGGATAAATCAAAGTCATTCAGGACATCTCCTGTGCTATCTACAATGCACACATATATTCACAAAATAACTTCATTATGCCTGCCACAGTGAGAGGGCTGTAAGCATGAAGCATAAGCCTACCATCTAACAGTAAAGTCAAAGGCGGTTACTGATCACAACTGAACTTCATGATTCTTTCCAGACAGAGCAGCACTGTGCTGCACAGGCTGGAGTGTCATGCTGACAGACACCAGAGCTCCCAGCAACCTCAAACTCCTGGGTTCCAGTGATTCTTCTGCTTCACTCTACAGGCACCCACCACAATGTCCAGCTGATTCTGTCTAGAGACAGGGTCTCACCCTTGCTCAGGCTGATCTTAAACTCCTGAGCTCAAGAGATTTTCCTGCCCTGGCCTCCCAGGGTGCTAGAATTATAGTTGTGAGCCACCACACCTGGTCTGAATTTCACTGACTGTTGATAGCCATGGAGAAGGCACATCAATTCCATGTTACTGTTATCTTACCAGTTCTGTATACAATAAACTCATTGTAAAAGAAAGTCAATCAGCCTATCCTAGTGAATGCTAAAAACCACAGATGGTTTAAAAAAAAAGAAATGGTGAGAAGAGTCCTTAACACTTTTTTTTTTTTACCATTTTCTAATGAATATAGAAAACATTTCCAAGAAAGTATTAATGAAAATCATTAAAAACTCATCAACTAGCTACAAAAACTAAGAGTTGACTGTAGAAACACACACTTCCCCATTTTGTGGGGAACTAAGTTATAAACTAAGTATAAACTAAGCTCACTCTAAAACATATTAAAGATTGTGCTTTTAGATCTTCCACAGTCAAAAATATTTTTAAAAATCATTTGGGTAAAATTTACATTGTCATTACCTATCAGTACAAGGTATACTCTTGGGTGACAGACGGACCAAAAGCCGAGACTCCACCACTACACCACACATGTGCAAACATCCAATAAAACTTAATTTGTACTCTAAATTCACGAAAATGTTAAACAATGTGAAACTAAAAAATAATTAAAAAGTCGTGAAACATTAGCAATTTCCTAAAGGTCAATCTAATAAACCAAAATTATCACCCATAAACTATTTTTTGGAATACAGCAAGTAATCAGTACACATTTAATGAATAAGTTTATTTAAAGTTGAACAGAACCTCAAGTAACTCGTAAGTATAATAAAAATTTCCTTTGCAGATCGTATCCACTCAATAATAAAGCTCTGGTAATACTATACTAAAAAACATCTGTAAAGTAAAAACTGAAACTAAAGTGGGAGCTAAAGAGTCCCCATACTTTATCTTTCCTATTATGAAAGACTTTCAGATCCTTAAAAGGAACGATGGTTTTGTTCCTTCAGTTTCTTCCTTAATTTCCAACTATTGTGACAGTTTATAATAAAGGACTTAAACTCTTCTTAGTTGATAGAGACCCTTATGTTAGAATTCTACAGAACTGATTTTATTAAAAATGTTTTGGGACAGGCTAATTATTATAATAATATTGTTAGAATTAAAAACAGAAATCTGCTAAATAAACAGTAAATACCAGTTCAGAAAAACCAAACCAGTAAAATAATTCTTTTACAGTTAGAATCAGAGATTAATGCGACCTTAAAATTCTTTGAAGACAAGAAACAATATTAGCAGTGAACATCATGAAATTGAGACTTTGAAGTCTCAATTTAATTATAAAGGCAGACTTAGGACTAACTAGTGAATCCCACACATAGCACATTTTAAAATGTGCAAAACTTTTATTTTCTCTTAAGTCAAAAGCAGTAATACATTTACAACACTTAAAAAAAAATGTAAAATCACCTGGAGATTTTGCAAGTGATGCATGGAATACTGAGAAATTAATCAGCGCATACGATGCAAGGAAGAAGTTAGAGATGATCGGAGCAATAACGTTCAGTTCAGCTGTAAAGGAAAGAGAAGCAGATTTATTGATGTATCAGATATTTTAACTTCTTAAAATTATGAAATACTCCAAACTTTTAGCATAACACCCCTAAAAGAGCTGACAATTAAGTTTGTGAACTTGCCACTGTGCCAAATAGCCTGATAAGGGTTCTGAACTTTGGAATATCAGTCTCAGAGCTGTGTCTATGCCAGCATTTGGTGGTGTCTTGCTGAGTGGTGTGCATTATTGCTGCGGTGTGTTTTTGTACGCTATTGTAAGAATGTCAGAGCTTCAATTAGACAATGAACAAACATTACATATCTTGTTAAGAGTGAAAGTCCAAGTTTTCACTTGACAAGAGTAAAAATGAAATCAGACATATATTAGTCCAAGTTTATAGGAATAACACCAGGAAGAAAACAGCAATGTACACATGGATTAAATATTTTTCTGACGGTGAGAAAGTGTCACTGATGAAGAGAGTTCAGGGTGGCCAAGAACAAGCAGAACTGATGAAAACATTGCAAAAATTCATCGAATTGCATGTCAAAATCATCATCTGACTTTAAGAAGCATAGCAGACCAAGTTAACATTGATACAGAAACAGCTAAGAGCATGAGAAAGGTGGTTGCAAAAATGGTCCAAAGGAGCTCACCAGTGAACAAAAGCAAGGCAGAGTCAAAGTTTGCCAGGACCCTTTAGAGAGGCAAGACGATGTTTTAGGGCATTTTACCACCTGTGACAAAACATGGATGTGCCAATACCACCCTGAAACAAAGCGTCGAAGTGCACAGTGGAAGTCAGCCAGTTCTCCAGGACCACGAAAGTTCTGTCAGACCAAATCAAGAGTCAAAACGATGTTCCTAACCTTTTTTGGTAATAGAAGGATTATTTATGATGAATTTGTACCAACTGGACAGTTAACCAAGGTTACTATCTGAAAGTGCTGAAAAAGCCGTGTGAAAAAGTTAGATGAAAATGACCTGAACTTTCTGCCAGCAATACATGGCTCCTGTACCACAACAATGAACCAGCTCACATGGCTCTGTGAGGGAGTTTGCAGCCAGTAAACAAATAATTATATCGGAACACTCTCCCTACTCACTTAATATGACCACCAATGACTTTTTCTTTATCCAAAGATAAAGGAAATATTAAAAGGAAAACATTTCATGACATTCAGGATATCAGGATATCAAATATACCAACAGCTCTGATGGCCATTCCAGAAAGAGTTCCAAAATTGTTTTGAAGGGTGGCCTGGGCACCGGCATCAGTGCACAGCTTCCCAAAGGGAGGACCTGGAAGGGACCCGCAGTGATGTTCAGCAATGAGGGATGGAGCACTTTTTCTAGGACGAGTTTGCAAACTTATCTGTCAGGCCTCATATATCTCCTTCATACACTTAATATTTACATTTTGCCAAATATGCTTCTTATACATTATTTTTCAGAAATTAAACCCTATGTATACCACTGAAATTTCCTTTATATCTCACTAGGCCAAACTTGGCATATTCTGTCTAATTATATTACACAGTTTTATTATATATTATTTGGTCTATATGCATTATATAGTACTGTTTCAGATGTTTTAAAAGTCACATAAATAATCTCTTCTGTGCAACATTCTGCAATCTTTTACATTTATTACATTTGAAAGTCAGCATAAAGATACATGAAAACCAGATTTCTTCATTTTTTACTGCTGCAGATTATTCTGCAATTTCATTCTTCTACTGATTTACGTTGCCTCTATTTTTCATTATTACAATTAATGACCCTGGAAACATTCTTGACATGGCTCCTGAGACACAGATACAAGTTTCTGTAGGGTACATACCTAGAATAAGAAGTGCTAGGTCATAGGAAACTTGACAAGATATTGCCAACTTGTTCTCCCAAAGTAGCTGCACCAGATACACATTTCTCGGCATCACATGAGAGCTAGTTCCCACAGGCCCTGCAACACCTACTGGTGTCATCAGCCTTTTAATATCAATTCATCTCAGGACTTAGACGGAATTCTTCAAAAGTCTAACACCTTCTTCAGTAGTGGAAGACCCAATGGACCTTACTTTTGCTCAGAGGCAAAAGTGCCAAAATACATCGGCAAAGGCACTGCCTTCATGGGAACCCTGGAATCCTCCCTCTTATGCCGTTACCATATTTACTTTAGGGATAAGAATGTGGGTGATCCTTTTTAGCCCCAGTGGGCACTTGGTGATGGCAATAATTTTAGCAAATATACAGAGAGTGCTGTTATTTACAGTGCTTTATAAATATTCTCTCATCTGACTAGAAAGAAACTTAGCATACCAACTCAAATAATATTTTATTGATAATAATTCAATGTTTAGAGCTAATACACTATAGGCACCAAAATCTACATTAATACATCATTTATAGAACTAACCAATTAAGATGAATCCAAGTGCAATTAAGAATGTTAAAATGTAGCCACGGAGAGGTTCATTATTTTTCCCATAACCTTTGGCAAACATCTGAAAAGCTGGGTAGATGTTGTCCTTACACAGAGCCTAAAGGGAAAATGGAAACATTAAAATGCGAGGTATTAAAACTAGACATAGAGATCTGCTTAGCTGTAAGAAGCTGGGGGAATGGAACTCGAGTTTCTCAGGCCTGGTCCTCTTGTTCCCTGTCTCACACTACTTCATCTACCAACCATAAAGGAGAGTCAAACATTCCAAACATCAGGAGTGTAGCTGCGTTAGAACATTCCTCACGTTTCTATCTGCCTTAGCTAATTCCCATATTGAAATTCATTTTTTGTGTGTGAATAAGAAATCACAAGCAGATATACAAGTAAAATAAAGTTGGAAATTTGGTTTGACATTACGTATGACCTACTTTAAGACAACTCCAAATCTAAAAGCAGATAAAAATCCTAATTATAAAATTTAACCACTTTACTTAAAACATTATTGAACAGTATTTCAAGAAATACATTCTACACCTTTACTATATGTACTGGCTATAAATATAACATTAAAACAAGGCTGCAGAATCAATATTCCATTTCTTTGATTTAGTAACAAAAAGTAGTTCCTATCAGCGTCAGTTGTTTGTTTAATGCTCATTAAGGAAAGAAAAAGTCTATTCTATTCAACCATGTGGCATAAGTTAGTCCTTAAAATATTTGTAAAGTTAAGATATTTAGGTTGACATCAGGCTGACTGGGATGCTGTTTCCTATTTCTGATTTAGGGTTTAGAGTCCACTGCTAGTCTTTGAGAGACAGCTTGAAAATTTACACGAAGTATGTCATAAAAGCAAAAATCCACCATCACTTCTAAAAAGACAACTCAGCCTACAACTTGACAGTAGGTAAATGCATCCATTTACATAAATCTACACATTCACACACAGAGAATTAAACATACCTACCTTGATATAAGTGCGTGCGTATTTATCACACACACACATACATATGTGGTGGACAGAGACAAATGTGCAGAATTTGGTGGTTGACAGAAGAAGATTATTTAAAAATAGCAATAATCACAAATTGAAAAACATTACTTTTGTCCTCCCTTTAATAAAGCCAATTAACATGAAAACACTTACCTGAAATATTTTGGGAGCACTGACAAGGGAGGCTAATGCTGAAGAAAGAGTAGCTGAGAAGATCCCTGCAGAAATTAACGGGGCAAATCCTGACACCATACTCATTACCTTAAACGAGAGAGACAGAAATTGAAAAGTCAGTCTCACGAACAACTCAGAAAAGAACACACTATTATGTAGGTACACCTTGATGATTCTGATGGAGGAGGCTAACACTGGAGTAATTCAATAATAATGAACAATGGTATGCACATCACAAATATCTAAAACAGATTTACTACTGGCCTTTAGCTTTAAAAACATTATTTTTCTTTTGTATGATTTCAAATGCACATGATGGCAGAAAGAAGAGTATAATGGATGACTAACCATTCATCACCCAGTTTCAACAATGATCAACGTGGGCCAATCCTTGCACTGTTTTAAAACAAGCCCCAGATAGCATTTAATCCACAGCTATTTCAATGTGTATGTCCAACAGGTAAGGACTTTTGAATTTAAAATAATAACTGATTGACAGTACCACAAAGCCAGTTAGCATTCAAACTCCCAAACTGTCTCTCTTTTCTTAATCTTTTAAAAATAGTTTGTTCAAATCAGGACCAAATAAAGATTACATGTTGTATTTAGTTGATGTTCCTGGTAAGTCTTTTTCAATCTTCAAGTTCCTACTTCCTCTTCCTTTTATTATGGTTATGTCATTTTTCCTAAAAAGATCCCACGCCCTGGAATTTACTGACTGCACCCCCACTGTATTGTTTAACCTGTTCCTCCCATCTCAGTGTTTCTAGCACCTGGCACCTGGAGCTAGACAGTTAATCACACTGAGGTCCAAGGTTTTGGTAAGAATATTTCACAGGTAGCATGAGGTATTCCATGAGCAAGGTTGTTTCTTTTTGTGGTGTTAATTGACAGTATTGTTAAGTTTTTAAGTCCTTATCTCTTAGAGCTAAACATGGAAATATTACCTGCTGAAAGGATAGCTAATAAGGCCTAGTAGGATTTGCTTCCAAAAGATCTGGGATAGGGGAGCTATAAATAAAATTAGCCATGCCCTGATAGCTGATAAGACTGAGTAGGATGTACATTGTATATTATGTTGCTGTCTCTGTCTACATGTTCAAATATTTCCCTATGGAGGCTTTTTTTTTTTAATAACAAAAAAGAATTAATCAGTAAGATCATGAGAAGACAATCTGATAAATCCAAACTAATGGACACAATGCAAAATAACGTGGCTGGACTGTTTAAAACGTCTATGTCACAAAGATCCAGACAGGCTGGAAACTCCCCTAGGTTAAAGGCGCTTGGAATGACTTGATCACTAAATGCCATGTATGATCCTACGTTGGATCCTGGACTTGGGAAAACTGCTATAAAGGACATTACTGAAAATACAAATACAGACCATATATTTAAATAAGAGCATTTCACCAACAGTACATTTCTTAAATGAGATAACTGTATTATGCTCACATAAAGTATCTTAAATGCTTCATCCTGATTGCCATGTCATGATGTCTGTAACTTTTTCTCATAAAAGTGAGAGAAATTCAGAAATGGGGCAAAATATAACCAACTAATAAACTGAATGATGGATACACAGTTATTCATTGCACGGTTCATGCGCTATCTTGGAAATTTATCAAAATACGAAATTAAGATCCAAGAGTTGTACAACTTAATTCTAGCCTAAGAATATGGGGAGGGGTGGGGGAGGGGAGGGGAAAAGAGCAGATGGGTGGTGGGAGGGTGACTGGAAAGATCACCTATATGGTCTGTCTAACAAGGGTACAAGTGAACTTTTCTAGAACTAGAGTATAAATGTTTTAACACAATACTAAGTAAATGACACAAAGTCTATGTTAACCAGTTTGATGAAAACATTTCAGATTATATATGAAAACA